TGTTCAGTTCTTGGTCCTGTTCTCTCAACAAGTGGGACAGACTATTTCAATCTCCTTAATTCTGCCCACGTTTATCCGAGGCGATGATCTTAGCCAAGCTTTGCCTTTTAAGGGCAGAAAGATGGAGGACTGTTAAGAATTGTAACCGGGATGCACCATGAAACATTAGCCCAGCTTCCTTTCTTCCCAGAAGAATCAGAGTTCAGAACTCCCACAACAAACTCCCCTCACCCCAGCCCAGATTTCCTTTTTTCAGAAACTAGCAAAGATAAAGGAAGTTCAGAGTTGTTGGTCATAATGTTTACCAAGGGTCTAACTTAAATTAATAGAGTCTAAATTAAACTCTTGTCAAGGGCATGGGCAGCAATGGGGTAGCTCTTGGCTTTTCACTGTGGGCAGAAGACCAGCAGCAGACACAGAAGGGCCCTTATTATATTTGGTTGAGCCTTTTGGATTTGTGCAAACCATCCCCATGCCACCATGTGTGCAGGAGTATGTGTTTAGCCCTAGGCTAATTTAAAGCTCACAGTCCTCCTGCTTCAGACTCTCGAGTGTTGAGATTACAGGTTTTGACCATCTTAATCTTTCTGTTTACCCAGGAGCTTTGACTGACCATGGTTTCAGTCCAGGCTATCACTTCCTTCCTACACTCAGGAAATCCTTCTTGCTTTTTCTGAACTCTATGGCTCATTAGACAATTCCAATTTTTAAAACTGAAGCCAGCCAGAGGTACTAGTATATCCTTGTAATCCCAGTCCTCAGGAGGCTGGGGCAGGGGATACCATAAATTCAAGGCTGGCCTGAGCCACATAGTTAGACCCTGTCTCAAAACACCAAAAAAAACCAAACCCACAAAAACTCTACCACCAGTAACAAATTATCCCACATTGTAGAGTGATATATTCTGACCTTTGGGATTCCCTGCCTCAGAGGAAACTCCCGAGCAATTATACTAAACAAACAGTATAATCACACCCAGGAAAGAGTCTGTTGATGTTTAAAAGGGTGGTTGTTTCCTGATCATAACTTTCCTAGAACCTGTTTTGCCTTGTTTGAAGACAATCAGGATTTTCTCAGTTACTGTGAGTGATTGATTTAACTCAGCATTATATGTAGTGCGTGTTGCATAACAATGTGTCTGAAGAACTCGTATATAGTCTGTCCCTGTAGTCATCCAACTCGCGCTTAGCCTAGAGAGGACAGACCTGTGTCTGAGACCACAGGGATGAAGCCTCATAGTAAAAACTAGGCTTTTGGGGCTAGAGAGGTGGCTCAAAGCTTAAAAAGAGTCACTGTTTTTCCAGAGAACCCAATTTTGGTTCTCAGTCTGTAATTCTGGCTCCAGAGTTTCCAAGGGCATCTTCATACATGTGACAGACACACACACACAAAATTTTTAAAAAGCTTGACTTTTAAGAGTTGCTCAGAGCAGTCTCAGAGGTACAGTGAAGGCAGACCCCCCCTTTTAAAAAAATTATTTATTTTTTTTTAAAAGAGAGCAAACTACCTTTTTTCATTATACATACTAATCCAAGTTCCCACTCCCTCCCCTCCTCCCATTCCCTCCACATACCTTCCCACTCCACCCCTATCCAATCCTCAGAGAGGGTAAGGCACATTGCCTTGGGAGGCAGAGATAGGAGGATTCCTGGAGTTTCACGGCTAGCCAGTCTAGCCAGTTGGTGCATTCTGGGCCCAGCGAGAGACCCTGTCTCAAACAGTAAGGGGAGAGTGATTTATGAAGACACCAACTTTGGCCTCTGGTTTCCATATGCATTCACACACACACACATGCACACACACACACACATGCACACACACATCATACATCATATACACACCATACATCATGTACACACAGACACACTATACAACATGTATATACATACACACACCATACATCATGTGAGCATGCACACCGTACATCATGTACATACACACACACTATACAACATGTATACACACACACACAAAGTGCTTTGTGTATCTTGAAACAAAAACAGTTGCTAGAATAACAACTTTTAGATACTTTATTTTTACATTAGTTCTTTCCAAAATGCTAAGTGCTTGTACACACACAATGCAAACTTTGGCACATTTCTTCTTGGCAGCAGCCTCCAGTTACCGCGTCATGCAGGTGTGTTATTCTAGAGGGGCGGAGTCGGTTGCTATAGTAACAGGACAGGCTTATGCTGAAGTTTGTTAGGAATTTTCTGTTTGATTTTTGCTTTGTTCTTGAGACACGGTCTCATTATGTATTTCAGCTGGCACCCAAATCTCACTCCTCCTGCCCAAGTCTTCCGAGTGCTGGCATTACAGACACATGAAACCACTCCTGGCTCACACTGAATTTTGATTTGAACATTTCCCTGCGCCGTGAAGCTCTTTAAGTCATCTTGTCACGTATCCAAAATGAGTCTTGTAACCTTGTTCTCATAAGGTAAGAGTCTCCCCAGTCGTATGGATTTGGAGACCGTTGGAAGTGACCATCTAAGGATAACACAAATTCACAGAAACCTTGTCATGAAATTGTTATCTTTCATGGCTTAAGAGCTGAGCCTGTGTCTTGAGAATCAGGTTAGTGTTCTCTGCCTGAGGACGGGGGATGTCATACTAGAATGCACCTCCTTCTAATGGTAACCAGGTGGCTAAGAAATGGCTTTGAATGTCACTCCTGTTGCTCCCTGGCTATGGTGGAACCTGTGAAAAAGCACTTGAAATTCTCAAGGCTTCTGATTCCTCAGCTGCAGGCAGGGTGTTAACACCGTGTAACTTCTGTGTTCAGAAGCAGAGCTCAAAACAAAGGGCTCAGCCTCAAGGCTGATTTCAAATGGAAGCTGCTGAAGTGCTTGTTCCTATCATAATACAAGTCACAGAACACAGACTCCAGAGCCAAAGGGCCCAAACCAGACCCTTTGTCAGTTGTCCCACTAGCTGTGAGATGGTGAGCTGTTCTCTCAAATCTCCCTGTCTTGGTTTCCTCGTCAGTAACATGAGAATAAGAGTCATATCTGTCTTGGAAGGTTGTTTGGGTTGATTTTCTTAGAATTTAGATTAAATATTACATGTATACAGATGTGCCAGAGTGTGGATTCCTGCACATGAGTACACTGCTCACTGAGGCCAGAAGAGGGCGTCAGATCCCTTAGAGCTGAAGTTAAAGGCAGTTGAGCACTGTCCAGTGTGAGTGCTGGGAACCTGACTCAGGTCCTCTGGAAGAGCAGAACATTTTCCTACCCACTGAGCCATTCACCTCATAAGGCTGTTGAGAATGTATACTACACTGTATGTGTCAGAGCAGTGTTTACTATTCATGCTTCCAATTTCTTTTCTCAAAGTGTTCCTGGCTTGGGGCCACCTGATTTTTGGACTTGGCTAACTTTCCATGTCGTAACACTAAGACTTTGAAGAAATTAAGCTTCATTTATTTTTTATTTCTATATATGTTTTAAAGATTTATTTTCACATGTGCGTACATGTGTGTACGTGTGCCTGTAAGTATACATGTGAGTACGCATGGGGGACACCCTGGGCCTGTCACGAGGGTGGTTAGATCTGAACTCCCGCCCTCATGATGTGTAACAATCACACTTAACTTTCCAGTTCCTAGAAATCCAGTTTTAGAAATTGGAAAGGAGAATCTATTTGTGATTGAAGAGGCTTCATGTTCTTGGGAGACCATTTTTAAACACTGAACGCTGGCTACATAGTAATTAGAACCTTCTAGCTGCCACCCAGTTACTGATACAATCGGTGAACTCTGGCCTTACAAGGTTACACTTGCTCCCAGTCATAGGCTCTATGGTTGTGGTGAGCAGGTTAAGATTATATTAAGGTCTGGACAGTCTCTTCCTCTTGTGTACACTAGCTATATTTAGGCCAGTTGAGATGAGTTTAATACGGCGCATATTGCTTTGAGTCCAGTTGATCCCAGAACAGCTGGTTCCGCCAGTCAGAGCAATGAAGTCCAATTTTAGTGTGAAGCCCCAGAAAACAAAGCATTCGGGATGCAGATCTGTGAGTTCCAGTGGGGCTGAGCTGTTGTCCGCCCTCTCCTCCCAGATGGCTAGTCCACTTCAGGGTTTTGTTTTGTTTGTTTTTAATCTTCTTTATCCTTGGGTTCAAAATATTCTGTGTCAATGTGTGAATATAATTAGCATGCAGATGTGTAAAATGGCTTCCAGGGACCGTGTTTATTTTCCAAAGTGGGAGAGTGAGTCCTGTGTTTTTCTAATTATAAAAATAAATCCCATTTTAGAAATGTTCAAATAATGCAAAAATTGAAACACTATGGAAAAGGCAAAAACTGCACATTAGCGTTAATCTTTCAAGATGTTTCACAGCACACATATATGTAGATATATATGGCTACCACCTGGTAGTATGCGTCTATACTGTAATCTTAATGGGTAAATACTATGTTTTAGAGTAAGTCAGTGGTGATGTTGATGTTAGATCTCCACCCTGTTGTGGGAGGTCTCTTGTTCATTTCCTGGCCTTCCAGACTCCCGAAATAATCACATAGAAACTATATTATTTGCCATACTGCTTGGCCAATAGCTTAAGCATATTGCTAGTTAGCTCTTACATCTAGAATTAACCTGTTTTCATTATTTTATATTTTACCATGAGGATGGTGGTCTACCGGCAAGGTTTCAGCTGGCAGCTGGCGTCTTTTCCCTCTTGCGGCTACATGGCGTCTCTTTCTCCCAGCATTCAGTTTAGTGTTGTCCCCCACTCCCAGCTCTACTCTGCCCTGTCCCAGGCCAATACTGATTCTTTATTCATTAACCAATAAAAGAAACACATTCACAGAAGGGCTTCCTACACTACCCCACCATGTTTTCAGGAGCCCTGAGTTTGACCATTTCCCTTACAGGAAGTCCTTCGTGACCCAGGTCTTGGCTTAGAGATGGAGGAATCAGGATCGTCTTTCTCTATTGTCCCGGAACAATAGCTGCAGAAGCTGGAGAGACAGCACAAAACCAAGCAAGACAGGCATGGCCGAGCACAGTCTTATTTCATCTGAGCAATGGCTTCAGCTGCATGGGCTTAAGAGCAAGAAGCTGAGCTTGAAGCAGATCTTGTCCCAGATTGGATTCCCACAGTCCGAAGGTACAGTACTCACAGGGCCTTCAGGGATCCTACCTCTGCTCCTGAGAAGCCAAAGGCCTCTGCACTTGCTTGGATTATACATCCCTGCTAGGGGGAAATGCTTGCACATGCTCCACCACAATCTATGTACTTCACATAGAAATACAACTGGAACTACATAGATTCAATATTAGGGCTGCTTCACTTCATTTGTGTGTATGTGTATGTGTGCATGCATGTTGTGTGCGTATGTGTGTATATGCACATGTGTGTAGGCCAGAAGAGGATGTTGACCTCTATTTCTGTACACCTTATTTCTTCAACACAGGGTCTCTCACTGAGCCTGGAGTTCACAGATTTCCTGGTTAGCCTGGGAACCATTAACTTCCAGCAATCTTTTGGTCTCTTCTCTTTCCCACCCTCAGCACTGGTGCACTGGCTAGTCTCATGTCAACTTGACCCAAACTAGATTTATCTGAAAGGAGGAAACCTCAGTTGAGGCAATGCCTCCATGAGAGTTGGCTGTAAGGTATTTTCATAGCTAGTGATTGATGGATGGAGGGCCTAGCCCATTGGGGGTGATGCTGTCTCTAGGCTGGTGGTCCTGGGTTCTATAAGAAAGCAGGCAAAGCAAGCAAGGGGAACAAACCATTAAACAGCAACCCTCCAGGGCCTCTGCATCAGCTCCTGCCTCCAGGTTCCTGCCCTGTTTGAGTTCCTGTCCTGGCTTCCTTCAGTGATGGACTACAATATGGGATGTCTGATTCCACGTGGCTCCATGGCATCACTCTGACTCTGTCCTTCTTTCTCCCAGCATAGAGCATAGATTTTCCTGCCAAATTCTGTTCTACCCTTGCCATATGCTCAAAGCAGTTCTTTATTCATTAACCAATTAGAGCAACACATAGACAGAAGGACCTCCCACACCAAGGTCCTGTCTCAAAAAATATATTATTTATTGAGCAAGGTGGTGGGGTGTGGCAGTAAGAAGAGAAGCCATGGGGGTGAGTTCTCTCCTTTCATCATGTGGGTTCTGGAGATTGAGCTCAGGTCTCCAGGTTTGGTGGCAAGTGCCTTTACCTGCTGAGCCATCTCTCCAGACCTCTCCTTTATTTTTTTAAGACAGGAGCTCTCATTGAACCTGGAGCTCCTGTATTTGGGTAAGCTTGTGGCTTGTGAGCTCTGCAGAACCAGCTGTCTCTGCCTCCCCAGTGCTGGGATTAAAGGTGTGCACCAGTGTGCCCCATGCCTTGCCCAGTGCTGAAGATTAGAACTCAGGCCTGTTGCAGGAGGAACGGCGGGGCTGCGTCCCACTACCCGGCTAGCTTTACCCGAAATAATTACACAGAAACTGTATTCTTTTAAACACTGCCTGGCCCATTAGTTCCAGCCTCTTATTGGCTAGCTCTTACATATTGATCTAACCCATTTCTAATATCCCTGTAACACCACGAGGTGTCTTACCAGGGACGATCTTAACCTGCGTCTGTGTCCGGTGGGAGAATCATGGCCACTGCCCTGACTCAGCTTCTTTCTCCCAGCATTCTGTTTTGTCTACTCTGCCTACCTAATTTTCTGTCCTATCAGAGGCCAAGCAGTTTCTTTATTACTTAACCAATGAAACAACAGATAGAAAGATGACCCTCCTCTATCACAGGCCCTCGTGTTTGTTTGGCAAGTACTTTACCAACAGAGTCATAGTCTCAGGCCCAATTTAATTCTTTGTAATGAAAAGGTAGAAATTGTTTTTTTTTTACTCACTCCACAGCAGATGTCTTGATTATCCTCTGGGATTCGCAATCCCCTTTGAGATTGATTGAAGTAATTGCTTTATTGATTAAGACAGGAGCTGTGTGCTATCTTAGGAAGAAAGTGCATTTTTCCTTAGGGGGCCTAATGGCTTATGGTTTTTATTTTACTTTATTTTTTGTTTTTTGAGACAGAGTTTCTCTGTAGCTTTGGAGCCTGTTCTGGAACTACCTCTTGTAGACTAGGGCACCACCACTGCCTGGCTGGTTTTTATTTTTTTTTAATTTTTAGCTTTAAAATATGAATTTATTGATTTATTCATTGTGAGCATATGTCCCTGGGAGGTGATGAGTGTGCATACATGGCGGTCAGAGGACACTTGTGGGTCTTGGCTTTCTCTTTTTCCCAAGTTGGGTTCTGGGGATCCAACTCAGGTTGTCACGGTGGAGAACAAACATGGTCACTGCTGATCCATCTCACCAGCCTGGAGGCATATATTTCTAAATGTTCTCGTTGTCATGTCAGTTCTTATCTCTCAGTAATATCCACTCGCCACCCCTAGGTAGCATGAAGTGTGTGAGAGTATTTTCATTTGCATTTTTTTTGGATACTGCATTTGGATACTGAAACATGGGGCCTGGGAAACAGGGCTCCTGAGTGTCAGTGTGAGGGATAGCCTACTGCACAAGAAGTACCTTCTCCAACACATCTGTAACATGATGCGTGAAGGGCATGCCCTTAGGATAATTCCAATTAGTAGGTGTAACACGATCAATAAAAACCCAGAGACAGATATTGAGGTTCAACCTGGAGGTCAGAAAAGTCAAACAGCGAGCCACTGGCTCTTTACCTCAGTATGAAATGGTGATCCTGCCTTCAGGAATCTCAGAATGAGACTGTGTCTCAGAGCTGTCTCCTTCCATTTTATATTCCTCTCTAGTGTAGGGATTAAAGGTGTGCACTACTACCATCCAGTTTCTATGGCAAACTAGTGTGGCTACTGGGATTAAAGGTGTATGTCACCACTGCCTGGTCTATAAGGCTGACCAGTGGGGCTGTTTTACTCTCTGATCTTCTGGCAAGCCTTATTTATTAAAATACAATAAAATATCACTACATTTTCCCTTTTTGTCTAAAATAAAAAAGAAGGCTACAACTAATATAAGAAAACTATATATAATAAGTACAATAACTATATAGGGTATATACAGGCAATAAATACATCAACAATGTCTAGTCCATTTGCATTTGATAAATCCAGAGAAAATATATCTATCTTACCTTGATGAGTCCAAAGTCTTGTACCTAGCTTACTTTCTACTATAACTTGCTTCCTGCAGCTGGTAAACAAGGAAAACTATAACTATCTAGTCTTCAACTCCCTCAGAGACCCAAGAAGAAAACAATTTAGTAAGCAGGAAGTGTGAGAAGTGACTTCCAAAAATGTGAGAGATGACAGAAACAGCTGGCTACCTGGACAGTGACCCAAAGTTCCTCTGCAACATTGGGCATCTATCTTCAGCCTACAGGCCTAGCAAATCCAATAGGCTTTTTCTGTGAAGCAGGATATTCTGAAGGAATATGGTATGTGGTACTTATTCCGAAAATTGAACATTTCCTTTAAATTTTCCAATTTTGTGGAGTACAGGTTTTTGAAGTATGACCTGATTCTTCTCTGGATTTCCTCATTGTCTATTGTTATGCTCCCTTTCATTTCTGATTTTGTTAATTTGAATATTCTCTCTCTGCCTTTTGGTTAGTTTTGATAAAGGTTTGTCAATCTTCTTGATTTCCTCGAAGAACCAACTCTTTGTTTCATTGATTCTTTGTATTGTTTTCTTTGTTTCTATTTTTTTAAGATTTATTTATTTATTATGTATGCAGTGTTCTGTCTGTCTGTATGCTTGTTGGCCAGAAGAGGACACCAGATCTCACTACAGATGGCTGTGAGCCACCATGTGGTTGCTGGGAATTGAACTCAGGACCTCTGGAAGAGCAGTCAGCACTCTTAACCTCTGAGCCATCTCTCTAGCCCTTTTGTTTCTATTTTTATTGATTTCAGCCCTTAATTTTATTATTTCCTGTCATTTACTCCTTCTGGGTGAGTTTGCTTCCTTTTATTCTAGAGCTTTCATGTGTTCTGTTAATTCACAAGTGTGGAATTTTTCCAGCTTCTTTATGTAGGCATTTATTGCTATGAACTTTCCTCATAACACTACTTTCATTGTGTCCTACAAGTTTGGTATGTTGTGTGGTCATTTTCATTCAGTTTTAGGTAGTCCTTAATTTCTTTCTTTATTCTTTCCTTGACCCAATGGTGATTCAGTTGAGCATTGCTCAATTTCTATGTGTTTGTGGTCTTTCTGAAACTAGTGTTGGTGTTGAATTCTAACTTTATGCCATGGTGATCCAATAAGATACATGGGTTTATTCCATTTTTTTTATCTGTTGAGGTTTTCTTTGTTACCCGAGTATGTGTTTAATTTTTGAAAGGTTCCGTGAGGTGCTAAGTAGAAGGGATATTCTTTTTGTTTGGGTAGAATGTTCTATAGATTAGTCCATTTGAGTCACAACGTCTGTTAGTTCCCTTATTTCTCTGTTGAGTTTCTGTCTGGCAGACCTGTGTATTGTTGAGAGTGGGGTGTTGAAGTCTACCACTATTAGGGTTTGGGACTTAATGTGTGATTTAAGCTTTAGTGATGTTTCTTTTATAAATGTGGGTGCCGTTGTATTTGGGGCATAGATATTCACAGTTGAGATTTCCTCTTGATGGACTTTTCCTGTGATAAATATAAAATGTCTTTCTTTATGTCTTTTGATTGATTTCAGTTTGAAGTCTATTTTGTTGGATATTAGGATAGCTACACCAGCTTGTTTCTTGTTTTCATTTGATTGGAAAATTTTTTCCCAATCCTTTACTTTGAGGCAATGTCTTTGAGGTTGAGGTGTGTTTCTTGTATGCAGCAGAAGGATGGATTCTGTTTTAGTGTCCAATCTGTTAGCCTGTATGTTTTTATAGGTGAGTTGAGTCCATTTATATTAAGGGATATTAATGACTACTGATTGCTAGTTCCTATTATTTTTGTTTTTGTTGTTGTTGCTGGTATTGTATGGGTCTTTCCCTTTGAGATTTGCTTCTGTGAGTCATCAATTGCCTGTGTTTTGGTGGATGTAGCTGACTTACTTGGGTTGGAGTTTCCCTTCTAGTACTTTTCTGTACAGCTGGATTTGTGGATAGGTATTGTTTAAATCTGTTTTGTCATGGAATATCTTGTTTTCTCTGTCTATGGTGATTGAGTTTTGCTGGGTATTGTAGTCTGGACTGGCATCAATGGTCTCTCAGTGTCTGCCCAATGCCTGTCCAGGACCTTCTGGCTTTCAGTGTTGAGAAAGTCAAGTATAATTCTGATAGGTCTGTCTTTATATGTTACTTGATCTTTTTCCTTTTCAGCTCTTAATATTTTTATTCTGTATGTTTATTTGGTGTTTTGATTATTATGTGGCGAGGGAACTTTTTTTTGGTCCAGTCTATTTGATGTTCTGTAAGCTTCTTGTACTTTCATAGGCACGTTCTTCTTTAGGTTGGGAAAATTTTTCTGTATGATTTTGTTGAATATATTTTCTGTGTCTTTGATTTGGGCTTCTTTTCCTTCTTCTATCCTTATTTTTCATAGGTTTGGTCTTTTCATGGCATCCCAGATTTCCTGGACATTTTGTCTTAAGCATTTGTTTGGATTTAACATTTTCTTTGACCAATGAATGAGTCTATTTCCTCTATCATATCTTCAACACCTGAGATTCTCTCTTCCATCTTTTGTATTCTGTTGTTTATGCTTGCATTTGTGGTTCCTGATCATTTACCCAAATTTTCCATTTCCAGATTTCTCTCAGTTTGTGTTTTCTTTATTGCCTCTATTTCAGTTTTCAAGTCTTGAATCATTTCCTTCATCTGTTTGATTCCTTTTTCTTGGTTTTCTTTAAGGGATTTGTTGATTTCTTCCAATTTTTTGTTTGTCTTTCCCACCACTTCTTTAAGGGAATTTTTCATTTCCTCTTTAAGGAAATCATCTTCATGAAGTTATTTTTAACTTGCTGTTTTCTTCCACTTTATCTGTGTTGGGATGGTCATTCAGGCTTTGCTGTTGTAGAACCACTGGTTTCCGGGGGTGCTGTATTGCACTTTATGTTGTTGAGTGTATTCTTACCTTGTTGTCTATCCATCTCTTCTTCCAGTCGGTATAGGTGGAGCCTGTCTCCAGATGGTCCCTCTTCCTCCCTTTGGTGTAGTTGAGGGCTGTGGCTCTATTAAATGCTCCTTCTGGTGTAGGCAGAACAGAGCCTCCAGCAATGGCTCCTCCAGGTGCAAGCAAGCCCAAGGCTCAGATTCTTTCTTCCTTTCTAAAATGGGTTTTTCCTCCCTCTTCAGAGCTGGGCATTCCTGGGTTTGGATCCTCAGCACCCACATAAAAAGCCAGTGTAGCATCACACATCTGCAATCCTAGTGATGAGGAGGCAGAGATAGGGACTCCCTAGAGTCAGGGTAAGGGTAGTACTAGAGCCAAGAACGCCATCTCTGGGGTTGAACATCAACAACTTTAGCCACATCATCATTATTATAAAGATGTCTCTGAGAAGCCTTGCCTCATCTTCCTCCACCATCATAGTCCGTCCTGAGAGGCTCTGTGGTCTACTGGCAATTTTGTGAAGTGTTTAGAAAGGCATTTTAGGCAACACCATACTCCCATCCAGTGTGCACGGCTCCTGACACACAGTGGGTGCCAGTTAGTGCATGCAGCTAGGTGTTTGCACAGCTGAGCAAATAATCCAGTAGTTATTTGACACAGACCTCAGTGTGCATTCCGTTCAGCTACTGAGCCTTCCATAGACCTACATCTCTCAAGCCTCGGCCAGATGCTCTGGTTCTGACACCATGTTTGGCTCTCCTGGATCAATGACTTGCTCACTTCATTTCACTAAGTCATGAATCAAGACTCGAGCAGTAGTTAGTACCTAAGTTGAAGTTTTACATTTACTCATTATTTTTGGCCAATCGAAGAAACAACCTTTCATTTTGAAATGTTCATTTGTATGTGTGTGTATTGTGGTGTGTGTGTGTAGTGTACACGCTCCTGTGTGCTTACAGGTGTGCATGTGTATGCCCCCACTTTTGGTTTATTGACACAGGCTAATATGTATTTATGCCAGGTTGGCTTTGAAGTTCTCATTCTCCTACTTCCAACTCCCAAGTGTTAGAATTAAAAGAATGAGTTACCCACGCCTGGTGATTTTTTTTTCAAGTTTTGTAAATTAAGTCCAAACCTTCAGTAAAATTTCAGGCATTAAGCACAATTTTTATGTTGTGATTTTGAACTCGGCCTTAATTGTTCTAGATAAAAATGTAACAGGGCCCCAAACATTAATAGGTTCCCAAGATCTTAAATGGACATCATAGTGGAAATGTCATTTGGGCTGTAAAACTCAGAGTGTAGACAGCCCCACCTGCCAAAAATAAAAACAAGGATCTACTCCATCAAAGTCCATATAGTTCTGGGAAAGTCTCTAAATGTACTAGCCTTGGTTTTTGGCTTCTATGGCTCTGCTTCTGGCCAACTGTTCTTGCTAACTGAGGTATGTCAACCTAGGACATGATTATCATGTTTAAAAGCCCATCCTGAGAAAGGCTCATGGCTATTCTGGGATCCTGGGCACCTAGTGTAGCTGCGGGCAGGGCAATAAAGACTTTCTATTGGCTTAAACCCATGCCTGAGCAGTCTCCTCTGGTGAATACCCCACAACAAAAGAACCACAAAGTGGAGCCCATTCTTCCTCCCTACTCATTCATGAATTCAAAGATTCAACACTTATATTGGTCCTAGTTCTTGCAAAGACTTTATGACTTGGGACAGAATAACAAAATTAAAAATTACTGAGAAAAATTTCGAAAGTCAACACGAGAAGCTTTGCTGATTTATCGCCTTGACTTTCTAAAAATACAGATTATGTGACTTCTTTGAGGAGACTCGTGACTTCTCGGTATGCTGATGGCCTCTTCCCACAGTTCTACACAACAGAAGATGGCAGGCTGTACAATGTAAGTCAGAGTTCTCTCATTGATCAGGTCTCATGGAAAGAGGCCTGAGTCACATAAGATCCCTGCGGGGGGGTGGGGAGAGTTTCCAGGCAGTGGTGGCGCACACCTTTAATCCTAGAACTAAGGAGGCAGAGGCAGGTGGATCTCTGAGTTCAAGATCAGCCTGGTCTACAGAGCAAGTCCTAGGATAGCCAAGGCTATACATAGAAATGCTGTCTTGAAAAAACAAAACAAACACACACACACACAAACAAACAAAATAAAAATCCCAGGGGTTAAGGAGATTCTGGCTTCTGGTTTTCTTTGGACATGGGCAGAATGATGAAGTTGTGGTTAAGCAGCAGGGGAACCCCACATCAGACAGAAGTCTGATCTCCAATGAACTCAAGAAATTGGTCACAAAAGAAGAAATAATCCAATAAAAAATGGAGTACAGACCTAAACAGGGAACTCTCAACAGAGGAATCTAAAATGGCTGAAAGACACTTAAAGAAATGTTTAACATCCTTAGTCATCAGAGAAATGCAAATCCAAATAACTCTGAGATTCCATCTTGCACCTGTAAGAAAGGCCAAGAGCAGGAAGCTCTTGATCAGAAATGGATGATCAGCTCTTGATTACTTACCAGCTCTTCATCTTACTTTGAAAAGGAGAGTGAAGAAGAGACACTATGACAGTATTCTCTGCAGTTACCCGACACAGGACTAGAGACAGTGTTGGCAGGTGGAGCTGAGTCCACACATATCACACCAGGACCCACAACTGGAGTTCATGGTCTTGTACAGAAGAAGATGTTCACAAATGTCAAGGGACATCTGTGCGTCATCAGGACTGTTGTGCCCTAATACAGTCATCCCTTGGAGTCCACAGAGACCCTTCCGGGACCCCCGGGTTAGTCACGACTGTCTGAAGAAATAGGATCATAGAAAGAACCTATCTATTAAAAGGGGACTTATTACAGTGGCTCACAGACTGAGGTTCATCTTGTCAACAATGACCACCTCCAGATGGAAAGGCTAAGAGGTTGTAGTTGTTTCGTCCGTGAGACGAGATGTCTCAGCAGTCCCTGTCAGGTGCTGGAGTCCCAGAGGATTCCTAGGAGCTGCTGGTCTTTAGTCTACATTGGGATCCTGAAGAAGTAGGTTGTGACCCCAGCAAAGGAGCGCCTCAGCGACAGGCTAGATGAACTCGCAGTTGAGCGTGAGTGGCCAGTAGGCAAAAAACGCCTCTCTTCAGGGTGCTCTCATGTGGGCGGTTACCAGAAGGTGTGGCCCAGATTTAGGACGGATTTTCCGGTCTTAAATGGTCCAATCAAGAAATTCCCTCACATGAGTACTAAACTGCTTGGATTTTGGCTAATTACAGATGTTGTTCATTGTCAGCATCCATGCAGTTCATTTTTAAAAATATTTTCCACCCTAGGTTGCTTGAATCTGAGAATATTGACCCAATGGATAGGGAGGGCTGACTGTATTTAGTATTTTAAAATTGCTCTTCTGAGTTTGGCCTACTAGAGCCGTTTTTAACTGGCCCACACTAAAATCACCACAGAACAGTAGAACAGATGTCTTCGTCCACATAAATCCACCGCCACAACCCCTGAGATCTCTCTGTGCTGTGACTTTTCTTAAAAGACGCGAACAAACATGTTTAATCTCAGATAGGGTACCCATTACAGATCAAAGAAAGGGTTCCATCTTCGTCTAGCTTAGTGAACCAGTGGATTTGTAGGGGTTACTCAAAGGAGCGTGAGGGTCTCAATGGCAACCGCATCATGGGGGGAAAAGCCCAATGTACCAAGCACGGGTGATGAGCAAAGCTGCGTCCCTACAGCTCGGTTATCAAGTTTCCTCCACAGTGGAGGAAATATTACACAACACGGTCTCACAACGTGGGTTCCGGAAACTGATGAGGTCTTGAAACAGGCAAGGAGACTCAGGGGGCTGGGGGCGTGGCTCAGTGGAAGAGCACTTGTTGAGTATGCGCAAAGTCTCTAGATCGAGTTGCGGCAGAAAAATGGTGCTGGCCCTTGAGACGCGAGCTCAATGGGCGACTTAGAGAGATGCAGACTGGGTACGGAAAAGACTTTACCAGATCTTGTAAACTTTGGTTTCTCATAGCACAGGTCTGCCTCTGCTCTCTAAAAGGCCCTGCAGATTGCCAGGCCTTCTTGAAGGAGGTGTGTACACACAGGAAGTTGCCGGCTAGTCTCTGTCTCCTTTGGGGGCATCCCGAAGGTATCAGTGGCGGCTGTAACTGGGTGAGCCAGGTCCAGGCGAGGTTGGTGTGGGAGGGAGAGGACAGAGCGACAAGTTACAATCTTTAGAATGAGTAACCGAGATGCTGCTGTTTTTACAAGGAATTGGAGATGCTTGCAGAAATAGTTTGCAGTGTCTTACACAGAAAAAATTTCTTAGTGAGACTTTAAAAAAAAAATCTGTCTTGGCTGATTTTTCTTTCTTCTACTCAGTTTTCAAAGTGCCTCTGGCCGTTTTCTGGTGTCCTATATATATATATATTATAAAGATAAAACCCCTGAAAGCTCTTCTCCGCCCGCCCCCCCCCCCCCCCAACTACAGTTTGAAGAGATCACGTTATCTTTCCGAGAGACTGGAATCTTCCTGGGTCCTGTGGGGTTTGAAGGCCACCTACAGAATCCTTCTAGACGCATGGCTCCAGCTGCATTACCGTGATTGCGGTTCTGTTTCTTTGGCTACTGTCCGCGTTGTTTTTGATTGTTTTCATTCGCGTTTTCCTTCAGCTGACAGCGAAGTCAGAGCTGATCCACCGGTTTGTGGAGCATTTAACACAGGCCGTGGAGAGCTATAAGCAGCGGATGGACTGGCTTACCAGCAGGAGCCGGCAGATTTTTGGTGTCATCTTGGAACAGAGCATCACCATAGTACTGGATTTCAGTGACATTTTGACGGAGGAGCTCAATCTGTGCCAGGATGCGCTGACAATGGTCCTCCAGGAGCAGGTGGCTCTCATCACCAAGTTCAACATCATCTGGTGAGTTCCCAGGGGAAACAGTGGTCTCCGTGAAACTTCATACCAACTCGCATGTATTCAGAGTTAAGGAGCAGTGCTAACAGAGTTAGCCTGATGACAAGGGAGGGGGATTATCATAATTCTGCAGAATATACAATTTCAGCAGAAAACCCATGATGAATAATGAATCCTAGGGAACTTCTATCTGCTTTTCTCAGGGCACCTTAGGTTTCATGTGGAGAGAGATTTAGAAGCTTGCTTTTCTTCAGTCCACTGGGAGGTCAAAATATGAGAATATGAATTACATATTCATATTATGTATGCGTATATGTGTGTATGTTCTGTAGGTGTGAGTCCCATTTTAGGTTGGATAACATGATTAAAGGCCACAACTTTGGCTCTCTTTTCCAGACTGAATCTGTGACACACATTGACCTCTCTTATGAGTTAAACCCCTTTCATTGGAACAGGTGGTTGCCTTTCTAGAATTTCACTTATTTTAGAGTTTTCATGATTGATTATTTATGGATTCTTGGAGCCACAGGAATGTGGGTGGCAGTGCTAACTCCTCAGCCACATCAGTGGCTGCATCTCCTTGACAAGAAACATCTGGATGAGTGGGCGGAGGGAAACGTGCCTAACTGAGTTCTCTATTGTTATCTAAATAGAGGACACCTTTGTGGGTGGGGCTTGACTTTTGACCCAGACGTGTTAAGGAGTTTTGATGTGCACGAAACCTTTCCTTTCTCAGACTCTTTACCATGGTGTATGTGCCACTCAGTCAGACCTCTCAACCCAGAGGAGCCCCAGCAAGGGAACACAGGTATGAGGCAGCACTCCCTGTGACGATGGGGCATTGGCAACAGTCAAGTCAATTTACTTAACGTTATAAACACAGAGAAATTCAAATGGTTCCTCTTACTGAAGTGAGGATGCCCTTCAGTCATTTCTAAGCCCTAAATAAACGGTTTAAACAAATGTTCTCAGGATTTTAAAGCCTGCACTATTGTTGATGCAGAAAGCAGAGCTGGTAAGACTGCCAGGATCATGAGAACAATGCCACTGGGAATAGACTTTAAGTCTAACAACAAGTCGCTACCAACTTGTAAACCGTAATACTGTAAGTTGCTATGAGTTTGCGATTGAGAGAAGATAGTTTCATAATCCTTCCTGATTATGAAACTATTTTCTCCTAGTGTTGGTGTGTGGATGTGCCGCTACCTTGTGTGCATGCATGTGTGTGCAGACGTGTGGAGGCTAGAGCTGCCTTTTTCAGTCACTCTTCACTGTATTTCTTTCCCCTGTTTGAGACGTCTTCCATGGAAGCTGGAGCTCACGGGTTGGCTAGACTGTATGGTCAGCGAGCCCCGGGGATCCTCCTGTCTCTGCCTCTCCACTTTTGGGATTGCAGTGTTTGATGTGGGTGCTAAAGAAGCAAACTTTGGTTCTTATGCCTACCCAACAGGCATCTTACTGACTGGCCACCTCCTCGGCCACTCTCTTAGTCTCTTGAAAGCACTTGCACCTTTTTGTTTGCTCCCGTGTCACTCCAGTCGGGTCTCCTGGTCCTTATGCCCGAGGGAGGTCATAGCGCTTTGAAATCGCACATTACACTCAGTACACTTTCCTGAACAAGACGGAATTGCCTGAACTGGCTCATGCATTTTCACGCTAACCTTCAGGGGCCTGGCAGTTTGGTTTTCTTTCTCACTGAGGTAACTTTTGGTTGATAACCAAAGGCCGACACTTCCGTGGTAGTGTTAATCACGGCCTGGTGACTGCTACCCATGATTCCTTTCAGGGTTTCTGGAGAGCCAGTGAAATGGCAGGCGTGTGCTACCTCTGTGACCGAAGACGCCATAGCTGCCGCCATCAGCTGGGTGGAGAAAATGGCTTTTGAGCCAGTGGCTGTGGGAGAGGTTAGCTGCCTGGATGCTCTGCGGGAAGCTGGGAAAGACGAAACTGTAAGTGGGAATCCATGGGCAGCCCAGGTCACCAAACTTAACTGCATACTCTGTGTCTTCCCACTGCTCATCTGGGTCTCCTAGCACCGTCACTGAGAGTACCTGCCTCAGGTTCCTGTCCAGTTGCTATGATAACATACCCCAGCCACAAACAATTTGGGGAAGACATGGTGTAAATGGTTTATTCCTGCTCACGATTCCAGGGTACAGTTGTCATAGGTGGGGTGCCACAGCCATGGGAGCTTGAGGGAGCTGGTCACATTGCACCCACAGTCAAGGGCAGAGAGAGAGAGAGAGAGAGAGAGAGAGAGGGGCAGAGAGAGAGAGAGAGAGAGAGAGAGAGAGAGAACGAGAACCAACTCTCAGCTCTCTTTCTCTTTTATACAGTCCAGGACCCAAACCTGGGGAACAACGCTGCTCATTTTTGCCTGGGTCTTCCTATATCAATCAATGTAATCACCCCCCCCCCCCCACACACACACACACACACATTCCCACAGGCCAACCTGGTCTGGATAATCCTTCACTGAGGAGTTCTTTCCAGCTGATTCCAGATGGTGACAAGTTGAGAAAACTAACCAGCATGGTCCCCAGAGCGTAATCCTGTTCACCCCTGGACCCACACCGGTCTAGAAGCAGGTTCCAGGTTTCAGATAGGAATCAGACTATAAGCTTTAGTGATGGCCATGCCATGCTTCTGTAACGTATTAGCTCTATTGTTGCCCTCCTGCTGGTTAGAGAAATGAATCCCTATCTTATAAGACATGGAGAGAGCTTGGGAGACTTCTCACAGAATCCTGAGAACAAGGAAATAGGGTTTCCCCAGCACCCAGGTTCTGGATCTTTCCCAGTTCCTTCTCTTCACGAACGGATCTATTATGTATATCTAAGGTGATGAGCCCCATATGATGGTTGGCTGTAGTTACCCACTTGACACAACACAGAACCACCTGAGTAGGGAATCTCAATGAGGAGTTGCCTACCTTGGGCTGGACTTGTGGGCATGTCTGTGTGGGATTGTCTTCGTAGCTACAGGAAGACCCAGCCCACTGTGGGCAGCACGGGTGCCTAGGCAGGGAGGCCTGGACTATGTAAGAGTGGAGAAGTCGAGCTGAGCACAAGCGAGCAAGCATGCATGCATTTCATTCATCTCTGCTCTTACTGTGGATGTCCTGTGACCAGCTACTTTAAGCTCTGTCACCCTGACTTCCTTGCAGTGATAGACTGTAACCAGGGACCGTGAGCTCAAGTAAATGACTTTCCCATCTATGTTGATCTTTGTCAAGATATCTGTATCTCAGCGACAGTAATGAAACCGAGACAGCACCTATGACACATTCTGATATCCTGACGTATGGTTTTTGATTGGGACCTTTGATAATAAAACTTCTCCTGAGACAAGCAAGTAAGAGGTGGTAGTGTCTGGCATCTCTTTCAGGCACAAGGCGTGTTTCTTTGAGTTGCTCTGGTGATGGCACCTTGAAGAGGGTGAGATAAGGGATTTCTCTGGCTGGGAGGAATTCCTTAGCCAGCTTCAGCTCCTCCGGAGTGGGAGGTGGAGGTCTGCTTGCCTTTGAGATATGGATGCTAAATACTTGCTTCCTGTCTTCTGGAAGGCAGGGCTTTCTGTAGGTTTCAGTCTTTATGTAGCTGCATCCGGGAGTCAACAAACAAACAAACAAATGCTGGCACTCCTCCCTTGGCCACCAGCCCATGTTTATCAGCACTAAGGTGATGGTTTGAAATTGGGAACACATTTTCCCCCCTTGCAGAGCCCGCTGAACACATGTTTTCCATTAAAGAAGAACCAAATACGAATCACTTTGTTCTTTGGCCCTTCCAGTCTGTTTTGACATCTGCAAAATTCCAAGCGTCTGGATCTTAATAAGCATTCAAAATGGAATGTTTCCCAGGCTTTGGATGTGCGTGTGTGTGTATGTGGGTATGTGTGCATGCACGCATGTGTATGTTTGTGTATGTGTGTGTGTGTGCATGCATGCATGCCTGTGTGTACGTGCGTGCGTACACCCATGAGCATGCACTTTCTTTGTGGACTTGACTGTATTGGTCACTTCTGACTCTGGCCATCTGGTATGACTCCAGTCTCCAGATTACCTTGATTTCCTCCTTTGTTTCTCCTGGGTTCATTCCTACTTTAGAAAATATGAATAGCCCAGTGAGTGCCAGCGGCGTCCTTATAGAAGAAGACTCGAGAAAGGTGCCCGCAGGTACTGACCACCACATTCAACCCATAGCCTAAAGCAAGCACAAAATGTATACAAACCACAGACATCCTTTATTAAGAGTCTACCTGTGGGTGATCTCAAGAAGAACCCTAGTAAGCGCTGCTGTCTTGTGTATTAGAAAGTGCCGTGCTCTGTGTTGTGTAAGAGTGAAAACCAGTATGCATGTGCATGGTGGGGTAGGTTGGGTCCCCTAAAGGTCCACTCCTCTGCTTCATGCCCCTTGTGACCATCCCATAGTTTCAATTCATCCATGTAGTCTTCTAGGAATAAAAAAGACGAAAATGTCAAGCTACCTTTGGAATAATGACTCTACCACCTAGGCTTTTCCTACTGATGACAACCTACTTTGGATTGTCTTCCTCCATCCATGGGCTCTGAAACTCATAAACATTAATATCCAAAAATTAACATGGAAGCCTGTATTATGTGAGACCCATCTGTGGAGGAGACCATTGGTCTCATTCAGTACTGGGCTTGTAACCAGAAGAACAGACAAGAAGAGAGGACTGAGCATGGGTCTTGGGGTCTAAGAGGAGCCCAGGCAGAGCGTGAGGGTCTGTTTAAACCATGTCATCAACACTAGCAATGGCAGGGCACAATTGAAGTCTGGGTATCTTGTGCAGAAGGATCTGGTTTGTGGGATGGGCAGCCTGTGAGCTATTGAGGAAACACCAGGCAGGTGAGGACTGGGGGTCCTGAGAGCCCAGCTGTTCTGGTCAGCACAGGGTTTCTGTGGTACCAGTGGGCCCTGGAAACCTGCAGACATAGAGCACACAGGGCCTTTGGAAAGAAAGGGCTCTTCGGCCTGCCTTGGTTGCCCATGAAATCTGTCTGAGGAGTTTCCTTCATGCTTCCAGAAGGCCATCTGCCCTGCACAATGCCTGACTTTCTAATTTCTGTTTATCTCAATTTGCCTTTCATGTACCTGATAGGCACACATTTGGCGTTGGGGGTTTTTAAATCATATTCACAGGGAGACTAAGTGAGTCAATTAAAGATAGAATCCCCCAGTCCTATGAGGGGCCTGCCCTGCTGATTGCCAAACCATCAGTCTGTAAAACTGACAACTCATATGTTTCCTCAGAGCAGTCTGGACAGGTGTAAAATTTTTCTGTTATGTCCCTGATGCCTACTCAGGGCTGCCGAAATGTTTATTGGTCAGTGAAGGAATGAAAAGAAAATACTATCAAGGTTGAGTTTGGGGGCTGAGTATAGTTCCAAGGGGTTCTGGTCCTAAACACATCACATAGAACCGAGGTTTTTGGCTTTGTTTTGTTTTGTTTTTCAGTTGAAGAAACAAGAGACATGGGTGGTGATGAGCTGAACATAGACCTTAAGACCTGGAAGGTCAGATAGTGACGGTCCAGTGGGGTGTGAGGAGGGGTCTAGAACTGACCCCAATACTGACTATAAGGAGGAGTCATCACCATAAAGGGAATCAGAGAATCAAAGTGGCCCAAAGAAGGAAATGTCAGAGAAATGGGGAGGACCGGGAGTTGGAGCCCCGTGTATGGGGATGGTTTAAACGCTGCAGTGTTATGAAGAGAGAGGCAGTCTTTGCCAGCCTCCTTGCTGGGCTTTGGGCTGCTTGTGCTTCTTGAGGAGGGAAGATTTTTATGCCCAAGGCTTTGGGATGAGAGCCGGCTTGGACAGGTGGCAGAGAGGGTAGCTGGAGTAGAAGCAGCTGCTCCCTGTCTGTGTCTTTCTTTTCTTCCTTCCACAGCTGATGTCAGGAAGATAGATGCCAAGGTCTCTTTGTCTGGGCAGAATGCAGGTTGCCATGTAATGATCCAGACTGAAACAGGACCTAATGGTGCCATCCTAATCGTGTGTGTGTGTGTGTGCAGGTGATACACACCTGTGTACATTTCTATGAAGGCCTGAGGTCTTCAGATGTCACATATCTTCCTCTTCTGCTTTTGGAGACAGGGTCTGTGACTGGACTTGGAGCTCTATGACTGACCAGACTATCTGCCCAGTGAACCCTATGGGCCCCCCCATTTTTGTACCCGAAGCACTGTGATTATAGGCACTCAGTACTGAGTCTGACTTTTGCAAGCGTGCTGGAGATCGAATTCAGGTCCTTCTACTTGAGCTGCAAGCCCTTTAAGGGCTGAACCATCTCCCCCACTTACCCTTTTATTTTATGTGAAAGAATTGCAGGAGATTTTGGCTCACTCCTCAGTGCAGTAAAGGCAGGTTTCAGTTCAATGACGTCTCAAGAGGAAAACATCTCTGCTCGAGAGTCTCCGTTGCTTGGGCCATTGCCAGCAGCAGTGAAGCATCCTGGCAGAGACTGCTGGCGCAGCCCTCTGCATCTCTAGGTCCTCATCTCCCTTTCGCTCTCACAGACCCTAGAAGGTACTCTGTCTGTTCCTTGTACTCGGGCCATGTGTCATTACAGGTGCCTATGAGAGGATATTCCTACATTAAATTTGGGCACAGAGGCAGCTGGGAAACGCTTGTGAGCAACTGTGCTTCATCTGTACACCTGGCACAAGGCCTGCGTCACACTAGGAAGAGGAATGGCCTGGGATGCGTTCGCTGGAAAAACAAAGCAATTCAGTCAGCTTAACACTTGATGGAGTGCTGTTTCTTAGATTGTTTTCTTCTGCCTGCTAGATGGCTGGTGGGAGGAGATTTACAGCGTTCATTAGGTTCCACTTCCTAGCAGGTACGTCCTGTAAAACTCTGGGAGCTAGTGTTGGCAGACTGGAGAGGGAGAGCTATGGGAGGGGGTGGGGCTTTTCTATGCCCACTAGAGGAGGTAGTGGCTGAGGTAGTCTGGTCTAGTTTCTCACTCTGGCTATTAACTCCCAACCTGTGTCTTTGGCTACCCCTGTTCTTCTCGCCCCCTCAGACACCAAGTACGCTCTTTCTGCTGCAGACCGAGGTTCCTAACCAACTGGACAGCCAATCATGAGTCTATCCCCTCTACTAGGTTCAAAGTTAAGGGGGAAACATCCGTTGACTAGCTTCAGCTCGTAAGGGGTTGAGATTAAAGCGTAAATAAGTCATGGGCCCTAGGATGCCTGCTTCTCACCCTCGCAGTGTGATTGTGGAGACCTCTGCCCAGTTCTATGTGGAAGTGATCAATCAAGGTGATTTTGAGAGACAGGCTCAGATGGTGTATATTTCTGGCTTGCTTTGATTGGTACTTTCAGAGATTTCTGTAAAATATACATACACACATATACATACACACATTAGTGTAGATCCCCAAAGCTCAGAAAACCAAGCCACAAGGATAACTTGTATTGTCTCATTTTGACCTAAAGATAGGTCACTTGCCTGAGTTCATGCATTCACGTCAGGAGAAGATCTGGTGGGGTGCTACTGAGGACACAGCTCATGGGTCCCTTTGGCGGGCTTTACATATCCCTGGGTTATGCCAAGAAGACTTATTTCTGGTATGATGTACATCTCCCAGAATCCCTGGATTAAGATGGACAGACATGTCACTGTGGTCAAGGAAGTAAGTCATTTTCCTTAAGATGAGTCTTGTGTGTTTTCTCTCACAGATGCTCAAACCGGGGCAGGTACACGCAGAAGAGGTGTGTCTGTTACTTTTCTCATTGCTGTGACAGAATGCTCAACAAAAGAAGGGCGTATTCGGCTCGCAGTCTAAGAAGGGCTACTGTCTGTCACTGCAGGGAAGGCATGATGGCAGGACTGTGACATGCTTTATAGTAGTCAGGAAATAGAGAGCAGACAGGGAGCGGAACGGGACCATGACACCTCAAAGCCTGCCTCCAGTGACCCACTAGCCTCAGCAAGGCTCTACTTCTTAAGGTTTCTAGAACTTTTCAAAACTGTGTCTCCAGCTGGGGACCGAGTGTTGAAACAAATGAGTCAGTGGGGAAACATTTCGCATCCAATCTACAGTAGGAAGGGGACAAGGAACAAGAGGGGAGATAAGAGGGGGTAACAGAGAGGGTAGAAGTAATCAGACTATATATACCAGGCAGATATATGGAAACAATGTAAAGGAATCTGGTATTTGTATAATTAATGTACACCAACATATAAAGGTGTATTGCAGTCTGTGTTTGTGCGGTGTGTGTGGTGTGTTATGTGTCTGTGTGGTGGTGATGGTATATGTGTATGTGTGTAATGTTACCATGTGGTGGTTATAGTGCGTGTGGTGTATCTGTAGTATGGTTTTTGTGTGTGTATTATGTGTGGTGTGGTATGTGTCTATGGGGTATGGTGTGTATGTGTGGTGTGGTGTGTCTGTTTGTATGGGGGTTTGGTGTATATGTACTATGTTGTATGGTGGGGGTATGGTGTATATAGGGGTGAGGTGTGTGTCTGTGTGATATGGTGTGTGTGTCAGGGATGGTATGTAGTGCGTGTGTTGTGTTTGGTGTACATATGATAAGTGGTATATGTGTTAATTATGTATATGTGTGTGTTGTGGGGTGTGTGTGCAGTATATTCAGTGCGTGTGTGTGTGGTGTGGGGTCTGGTGTGGGGATATGTGTGAGTGTGGTATGTGGGTGTGCTTGTGTGTGTATTGCTTCTGACATGGATTGTCCACTGGGCATTGTGCTCTGGCACGGCTGTGTGGAGCAGAGCCAGGTGGGCACACCCTTCTCCTAACCAGCAGCATGGAATGAGGATGGCCTCATCTTCCCCGGTGTGTGTTTCCCTAGTGCGAGAGAGCAGAGGATGAACCAACTGGGAATATACCCTCTCTTCTGCATCCCACCTCAGACTGACAATGGATGAGTTTGTGCTGCAGAATTCTGCACCGCCCGGGGAAGTCGATAATACTGCGCTCCCTGCCCTCAGCAGCTGTCTGGGCCAAAACTTTCTTTGTTTCTTGAAAACAGCCTTGCCTCTCTGTCTATGTAACTATAGGCCTGAGACAGCCTTTCTCCAAATCTGCCAACTATATTCTTTGTGCAGCACTTAAGGACCATGATGTAGACAGAAGTTTCTTTCCTGCCTGGTCCCACAGCCGTTCAGTCCCAAAGAAACACACAGAGGCTTCTGTTAATTATAAACTGTTTGACCTGTTAGCTTAGGCTTATTATTAACTAGCTCTTACAACCTAAATTAACCCATAATTCTTGTCTATGTTTAGCCACGTGGCTTGGTACCTTTGCTCAGTGCAGCATTCTCATCTTGTTTCCTCTGCGTCTGGCTGGCATCTGCTCTCAGTCTTTCCTCTTCCCAGAATTCTCTTAGTATGATTGCTCATCCTATACTTCCTGCCCCTGGCTACTGGCTAATCAGCACTTTATTAAATCAATACAAGTGACAAATCTTTACAGTGTGCAGAAGCATTATCCCACTGCTCCATGGCTGTTGTCAAGAGACCTTGAATGGCTTGCTGGCCTTATGTCTCAATGTCATCACGGGACACTGACCATAGCTTCTATTCGTTCTGTCCTCTCTTTTTTTGCAGCAATTAGGAAATGTGTTGCTGATGAGCATAGCACAAGTCTGGGGTATATGGCGGGTCGATAAGCGTTGTCATCTGTGCCTCTTGTCTTGCAGATCGAAGCCATTTACTACTTCGTGGTGGGGGATATTCCGGAGGATTCCCAGGAGCGTCTTCTCCAGAGGGTTTTGGAGATCCCATATCCAGTCTGCACAGTGTCCTTCAATGCCAGAAGAGAAGGAACTGTAGCTTTCCTAAAAGATCTGAGCGCCAAGACTCACAGCAGGTAGGCCGAAGATGGACTCGAGAGGGCCTGAGCGTGAGTGGCCCATTTACAATCTAGAGGCATACTCAGTGTGTCCCTGTGCACAGTCCCCATGGCTCCTGTACCCTTTTCTTTATCATACAGCAATCCAGTTCTTTTGTTCTGATGTCTTGGAGTCTTTACACTGGAGAGTTGCTCCCCGCCCTAGTCAGTTAATCCCTAGAGATAGGAAGTACTGTCTGAAGGTTACAGGGTCTCATGCTCAGGGCAGTTGTCTCCTCAGTGCCAGACAGGGATGATTGGAGGTAGCTATGCATCCAGAGCTCACTGCAGTTCTTCACATTAGCCAATCTTTTTTTTTTTTTTTTTTTTTTTTAAATAATTTTTTTTATTAAGAAAAGAAGAAAAAAAAACATAAACAAAAAACAAGTTTCCACCTCCTCCCAGCCTCCCATTTCCCTCCCCCTCCTCCCACCCTTCTCCCCCTCCTCCCACCCTTCTACCCCTCCCCCCACTCCTCTCCCCCTCCCTCTCCAGTCCACAGAGCAGTCCAGGTTCCCTGCCCTGTGGTAAGTCCTAGGTCCTCCCCCCTCCGTCCATATCTAGGAAGGTGAACATCCAAACTGGCTAGGCTTCCACAAAGCCAGCACATTAAGTAGGATCAAAACCCCGTGCCATTGTCCTTGGCGTCTCATCAGCCCTCATTGTTCGCCATGTTCAGAGAGTCCGGTTTTATCCCATGCTTTTTCGGTCACAGTCCAGCTGGCCTTGGTGAGCTCCCAGTATATCAGCTCCACTGTCTCAGTGGGTGGGTGCACGCCTCGTGGTCCCGACTTCTTTGCTCAAGTTCTCCCTCCTTCTGCTCCTCATTGGGACCTTGGGAGCTCAGTCCAGTGCTCCAGTGTGGGTCTGTCTCTGTAAACATACAGGTTATTGTATGTTAAATAAGAGGAAAATTGTTAGTGATATCGAGGCCTAGATTTAGCCTTTATTGACACCAAAGGCAAGCCGGAAATACATCTTTTCACCCACCATTCTGCCTAATAGAGTTGGTGGAAAGGCTGTCCTCGCCCACAGCTCCAGGAACCCCGATTTTCCATGTCTGAAGAGGGTCAGGACTCGTCATGTGCAGCAAGACCTATGAGAATCTGAACTCACCACTCTGGAAACTCTTCAACCACTTTGAAATCACCAGGCACAGGGCTTTGACCCTCGGATCTTATGTATCCCCAAATACACAGAAGAGGCTCCTCATCCACTCTCTCCAGGGTAGAGAGAAAGACAGCTGGCAGGATTCCCTCTCTGGCTTGTCCTTGCCTCCCATCTCCCAGGGAACTTTCTCCAGGAGGTTCAGCGCCTGGGGAACAACATGCCACAGGCAGCACTGATTCATCTGCTGCATTTTTAGACCGTCTCTTGCAGGGTGGAGGATTTGCATGAAATGGTCGGGGGCGGGGGGGGGCACACCATCCTCTGCCTGCTCTGGACCCTCACAAAGGAGCCCAGCGCACAACCCTTAGCACATCTGCCTGTTGTAGCACGGGCTCAGACACACCATGCCTTCTCTTATTCCTTTGTGCTCTGGGCTCCTGGGCCCAGCTAGAGGGCAGTGAATATCCAACTGGAAACAGCATGTCCTTCTGGGTTTAGCTCGCTGGCTGCCTAGGCCATGAGCTCTCCAACTGGACTCTGATCCTCACCTCCCTAGTGTCCAAGGCTGTGTTCGTGTGCAGCCATCAGCGTGGGTGTGGGTGCTGTGATACAGAAGTCCACTCCAAAGAGCCTTTCACAACTGTGTCTCGTCCCATGAGAGATTAGAACGTCTGCCTGTTCCCTTTTCTAATCTGGAGAAGAGATTAGAGAGTAGAAAGTTCTAGTCATCCAAGGCCTTGGCACTCAGAGTTCAGGGTTTGCCAGGACAGGTCGTCCCTCCCCCTCACCACACACACACACACACACACACACACACACACACCCCTTGATCTATCAGGCGGTCACCAAAGGAAGAAAGCTGGCAGCTGGCTCTTTCTGCTCAGCGAAGTGCCTACAGAAGGCAGGCATAGCAAGGCTGGGTGCCCCGGCTTCAGGGACCTCAGGGTCACAGGAATGAGGCCGTCTTGTTCACTGCCACCAAGTCACTGTGTGAGTCTCACCCGAAACTCTAGGAAAATGATAGTCTTTCCACAATCCAGGAGGCCCTGAGATTGCTTCCACTTCTGTTTGCCCATCTGTCCACTCCAAGTGGTCCGGCAGCAGCAGGAATCCCTGAGTTGAATGAGCAGTGACAAGTGGATCTCTGAGCATCACCTGAGAGTCAGAGATCACCTTTGGGAATCAGAAGCTAGTGTCTTATCACTGACTTTCTGGGTTCCAGTAAGCAGTTTCAGAAGCAGTTTCGGGGCTGAGGATGTAGCTCACTGGTGTACGTGAGGGCCTGTGATCCAGCTGTACGGAAGGGGGAGGGAGAAAGAAAAGAGAGACAGGCCCATCGAGTTGTGCCTCACCAGCCGCTGCAAGCTTCGACGTGCAGACCAATCCTCTGGGGATCTCGTTAAAGTTGTGTGCTGACTCAGCAGGATAACAGATCTCTCACCAGCTCCCAGGCGACACTGCTGCTGTTCCTTGGACCACACTCGGAGCTGGCAGGCCCCCAAAACTTGCCCACACAGGAATTCTTTTCATAAGCTCTTAAGCTCAAAACCTGGGGCAGTATGTGTTTGCTGAGTTACGCTTGACTGAGGCCACTTCAGCAATAGGCAAATTAGTCAAGGTCGGCTGTACCCCCAGCTTTCAGTGTTGAGCCAGTCGGTGCTACTGGCTGCTAGTGGGGTCCCCTATTTGATGCCTGGGCCATCAAAGCTATGTTAATGTAATAGAGACTTAGAGACAAAATAACACAAACTATCATTTTCCTAGCGTCAAGAAATGCCATTGGGTTGGGCTAATTAATATAATGAGAAGCCACATCACCGCTAAAAGTCACAAACCATTCTTGCACATGTGCATGTAGCTGTATATGGAGGCCAGAGACTATGCTGGGCATTTTTCCTGGTCACTTGCCACCTTATCTTCTGAGACAAGGCTTTTCAATGAACTTGAAGCTCGCTGATTCAGTTAGGCTGGCTGGCCAGCAAGCTCCGGGAATCGTCTGTCTATATCTCATCAGTATTGAGACCATAGATGTATGCTCCAACCCGGGCATTCTGTGTGGGCTTTATAAGCTGGGGATCCGAACCCAGGTCCCCAGGCTCGCCCAACAAACAACTGAGCCATCTCTCTGCCTGGCTTTGATCGTGAAAGTTGACAAGACAAGGCATAGGGAAATCAGAGAACAGGAAGGTCTAAAGAGGCTTGCAATTGGGTGTGGCGTTGTATACCTTAGTCCCGGCTACTTGGGAGATGGAGGCAGGAGGATTGCTTGAGCCTAGAATTTCAGGGCAACATAGTGAGACCCAATCCCGAGAAAACAAAACAAACAAAACCAAGATTCGGAGCACCAAAGACAGCAAATGGATGGAAGTATTGGTGGGCATGTGCCTAATACAGAACACCTTTCGCCTTTCAGATTCCACGCCTTTGCTGAGAGAACAGAGTGTCTAGAATTCTCTGCATGTTCCACAAAGGATGTTGACAGCGCAGGGTCTTGGAATTCAAGGAAACTGAAAGGGAGACTCCCTCCAGGTACCTGGACTCCTGAAGGAGCAGCGGCGCATATAACCTTAATCATTTCAAGTGGTGTGCCATGCAGTTTGGAAGTAGAGGCGAAGTAGAGGCCACCCATATCTTTTGTATTGTTTCTCTGGTACGAGGATGCACCCACTGGAATGTCACAGTGAGTGGGTATGTCTAGAAACTGCTTTGAATGTCTCACTCATGGTGCTTACTGACATGGGAACCTTCCAGAGATGTGGCCCTCGCTGTGCTACTGCTGGGGTTGGGTCTAAGGCAGGCTGAGCCACCCTATTGCCTGGGTTAGCTGGGGGTCCCTGCGGTTCTCAGGATAGCGCTCTTTGCTTCTTGTGATGTTAGCTGTACTTGCAGGATGAGCCTGTCCTTGTGAGGGTCAAGGCTGAACAGGGACTTTTATGGAGGCTGAGGGAACCTCATTTTTCATTCAGGAATGTGGTCTAGTGAATGAGGTCACAAATCATGAAGAAAGGGAGCTATGATTCAGAAAGCCAATAATGGAATTGTACTCAGAAAACCAAGAGATGGGAATTCCTTTGGGGCTGATGAAATGGCAAAATGCTAGCCACTCAGTAAAGGCTGGGAAGGAAGGTCCTGTCTGGTTATTACATGATGCAGCACAGCATGGCACCTCAGCTATTTAGAAATTGTTGTGGTTTGAATGAGACATCGCCATATCCTCAGGCATTTAGATACTTGGTTCCTAGCCAGTGATGATGTTTAAAGAGGCTTAGGAGTTGTGGCCTTACTTGGAAGAATGTCACCTGGGGTGAGCTTTGAGGTTTTAAAGCCTCCCAGCAACCCCAGTTCACGCTTTCTGCTTCCTGCTTAGAGTTTAAATGTGAACTCTTGCCGGCCGGTGGTGGTGCACGCCTTTAATCCCAGACTCAGGAGGCAGAGGCAGGCAGATCTCGGTGAGTTCGAGGCCAGCCTGGTCCAGCTAGTTCCCAGGACAGCTAGGTCTGTTACACAGAGAAAACCTCTCCTGAAAACAAAAACAACCCCAAAAAGATGTGAACTCTTAGCTTGCTGCTCCCATTGCCATACTTAACTACTGCCAGCTTCCCTGCCATGACGGTGGTGATCTTATCCCTCCAAAAGGATAAGATAAACCCTGTCTTCTCTGTGTTTCCTTGGTCATGGTGCTTTCCCACCACAATAGAAAGAGAACTCAGACAGACGCCAGAGAGAGCCAGTGCCTGCCTCTGCCCTCCCGCTCAACTGCAGTTATTAAGCAGGCTTCAAGTTCAGTACAAGGTAAAGGTGACTCCTTGGGTATAGGAAAGAACCTGAAGCATCCTTGCTTTGCTGAACAGCGTTGCCAGGGCTCAGGAGGAGAAGGATGTTTGCGTGGTCAGCTAGACTGTGAGATGGAGCTCATGACAGGACAGCAGTTCAGAAAGCCCATACCTGACACACACTTTGCGTACTCAAACTCTTCATGTCCTGGAGACTAGTAGGAGGGCCCAGCCTACTGTGGACAATGCCACCCTTGGGCATGTGGTTCTGGATATAATAAAACAGGCTGAGCAAGGCATGGAGGGCGAGCCAGTAAGCAGTGTTCCTTCATGACTTCCGCATCAGTTCTTGCCTGGAGTTCCTCCCTCTGACTTCCCTTCATGATGGACTTTAAGCTCTGAAGATGAAATAAACCCTTTCCTACCCAAGGAGGTCATGGTATTTATCACAGCCACAGAAATCCAACCAGTGGGGGCTTCGATCAGGTTGGAGAACATGCGCTGTCACCTACTCCCCAAGCCTTGTCAGCAGTTACAAATGGGACTGGATTTTGACCTGTGCGTTCCCTGGGGTCCTGGTCTGTTTGCTGCTGCTGCTGCTGCTATGCCGGAATACCTGAATAATTTATAAAGGACAGGGATGTAGTTGGCTCATGGTTCCCAAAGCTGAGAAATCTAAGAGCCGGTAGCTGGCACGGAGAAAGGGCTTTTATGCTGCATCCTACCAGGGAAAAAGGCTGAAAGGCAAACGGGGTGGTGGGGGAGAAGTTTGCTTTCATATCCAGTCCTCCCTCACAGTTACTAACCCACACCCACGATAATGTCATTAATTCATTCACGGGGGCAGAGTCCCTTTAACCTGTTCACCTCTTAGCAAGTCCCACCTCCCGTGTACTCGGGAGAGTCACATATAAGCTATAGCACCTGGTATCGGGTGACAAAGGAAGCATCTGTCCATGTAGCTAGCATTTCCACAGCTACCCTCGTCTCAGCCTTGGGAACAGACAACTTGCAGTACAGATAAAAACATTCTCTAAGAATGAAGTGTTCAGCCTGTCTTCATCTTAGTAATCATGTGTTCCAGATTTGGGGGGGGGGCATGTTTATGCAACCTTGCCTCTCCATCACAATGCCCCAGAAATGCCAGCCTTTCAAAGTTGACTTCTTCCACTCAAAAATTGTCCTGAAGTCTTTGACAGATGACTTTTCTTTAGAAAATGTGTGCTTTCCAATTTCACCTGGGCTCCAAGTAGCAGTATTTTATTTTATTGTCGTTCTTCCTTCTCCCCCCTTACCACACCGGCTGCTGTAAGAATTTAACATCATCAGTCTCCCAAACCTCCAACAGGGTGGGTGGAGTCTGACTCCTCGGGAGATTAATTTTATCTTCATTTAGTAGAAAACAGACTTTCAAGAGAAGACTTACACAGCACTACTTAAGAGAACCCACTTGCCAATCTGAGAGAAAGTTCCAGGGGCTACTGACTTTGAATTCTACGTATTTGATTTTTAAAGTCTGACTCTTCTTCTTGCTCTACCCCAGTCCAGAAACAAAACAAAAAATAAGACAAAAGGACCACTCTGCAGCCAAGATAAAGGATAGTTTGTAAATCATAGAGTATGTGTATTTGTGTGTGTGTGTGTGTGTATGTGTGTGTGTATGTGTGTGTGTGTGTATGTGTGTGTATGTGTGTGTATGTATGTGTGTGTATGTGTGTATGTGTGTGTGTGTATGTGTGTGTGTATGTGTGTGTATGTGTGTGTATGTATGTGTGTGTATGTGTGTGTATGTGTGTGTATGTGTGTGTATGTATGTGTGTGTATGTGTGTATGTGTGTGTGTATGTGTGTGTATGTGTGTGTAGTGTGTGTGTGTGTGTGTAGTGTGTGTATGTGTGTGTAGTGTGTGTGTGTGTGTGTATGTGTGTGTATATGTGTGTGTGTGTGTGTGTACACCTGTGCCACAGTGCACGTTTGGAGGTAAGAGGACAACTTGCAGGAGTGGGTTTTTGCTTTACTCCAGGTGGGTCCTGGATATCAAATTGAAGTCATCAGACTTGCTGGCCACCTCACCTGGTCTTGTACAAGCACTATTCCATTCGCAGGCGACGAGGAAGAGCCCTCATGACTTTATCATTTTCCCAAAGCTCTTACCTCCAATGCTATCACATTTGAGTGTTAGGTCTCACCGTAAGAGTTTAGGACATACACTTAAACCATATCACCCATCCCTTCACAGTGTCTGTCCTGTGACTGACTTTTTTTCCTTTTCATCTAGCATGATGTCATCTCTCTCCTTTAAAGGAACTTTTTTTTTCTTTATGGCTTAAAAATTTTTTTTTTGGACACATAGAAATATCTTAGTTGGTAAAGTACTTCCTGCACATGCACAAGGACTCAACTTCAACCCCCAAACAAGTGTGAAAAGGTTGAATATTGCTGGACACCTGTAATTGTCACGCTGGGGAGTTGTTGGAGGCGGGAGGGGCCATGGAGCTTGCTGGCCTGCCAGTCCAAGCAGTCAGTGAGCTCCAGGTCTCAAAAGATAAGACTAAGAGCAACGGAGTAATGAGGGAAACACCTAGCCTTGACCTCTGGCTTCCACATTTACACATAAAACCGAGCTAGGAGAGAGTAAGGGGAGGGAGGGAGAGAGAAAGATAGAGAGACGGAGAAACAGAGACAGACAGACAGACAGACAGACAGACAGAGACACACACACACAGAGAATTAAATTAATTCATGTGTGTGTATGTGTGGTGTATACCCATCTCTGTGTATGGATACATGTTATTCCATGTCCGAATGTCTTGCTCTAGCCCTCTGTCAGGTTCTCTTGAGACAGCCTTCCACTGAACCAGAGCTTGCTAGACTGCTTGGTCAGTAAGTCCTTGGAATCTTTCCTGTCTCCAACCCCTCAATGGTTGAGTTTCAGGCATTCTTGCCTACAACAGATTTTTATGTGGGCATTGGGGAACTCAGTTTCCTCAGTCCTAAATTAGTGTTTAATTGTCATTAAAAATAATTATATCATTTTATATACATTCTTTATTTTTGCTGATCCTGCTTTCCCATGACTCTCCTCCACCCCTACTTCCCTTTCTGGCTAGTTCCCCTTTCTCATGACCATATACATATATACACACACATATATAGTAACTAAAAGTCCAGGGTCTTCATGTAAGAGAAAACATGAGTCTGGGTGACTTCACTTAAAGCAATACTTCTAAGCTTCACCCATCCATCCTTTTTCCTGCAACTGTCATGATTCATTTTTTTTGTGATTAAATGAAATGTTATTGTGTACATGTGTCACTTTATTTATTTATTTATTTATTTAATGTATGCATTGTTCTGTCTTCATGTATGCCTGAATGGCAGAAGAGGGCACCAGATCTCACTACAGATGGTTGTGAGCCACCATGTGGTTGCTGGAAATTGAACTCAGGACCTCTGCAAGAGCAGCCAGTGCTCTTAACCACTGAGCCATCTCTCCAGCCATCCCCCCCCCCCCCCATGCGTCACATCTTTACACATTCACCTGTTTCTGGACATTTCTTAACTATTGTCAAGAGAGCAGTTGTAAGCATAGATGTGAGCAAAGTATTACTGTGGTGTGCTGAGTTAGGGTCTTTGGGTATATACCCAGGACTGAGAGCTGGGTCCTATGTGGTCCTATTTTAAGTTCTTTGAAGAAACTCCACACAGACTTCCATAGTGGCTGTACCAGTTTATACTCCCACCAACAATAAACAAG